TGGAGATCGGAGGTCGGAGTGCTGAGCTGGCGGGCGTTGGAGGTCGATAGTTGGAGCTGGAAGTGGAGAGGTGGATGCTACAGGTTAGCGTCGGAATGGTAAGTGGGCTCCGGAGGTCGATAAGTGGAACTGGGCGTGGGGAGACGGATGCTAAAAGCTTGAGGTCGGAACGCTGCGACAATGCGCCTGGAGATCGGTGTCGAAATGGAAACGGAGAGCCAGATGCTAACAGCGGGAGGTCGGAATGCTGAGCTGGTGGGCGCCGGGGGTCGGTGGGTGGAAGTGGAAATGGAGAACGGGATGCTGAGGGCCGGCGGACAGAATGCTAAGCTGGTGGGCGCTGGAGGTCGGCGGGCGGATGTGGGAAAGTAGAATCGGAAGCTGAAGATTGGAAGTCGGAATGTTGCGCTGATGGGCGCTGGAGGTCGACGAGTGGAGCTGGAAGTGGAGAGTTGGATGCTGGAGGTCGGGGGTCGCGCTGCTGAGCTGCTGGGCTCTGGAGGTCGATCGGTGGAGCTGGATGTGGAGAGTCGGGCGCTAAAGGCTGGAGGTCGGAATGCTAAGATAGTGGGCGCTGGAGGTCGGTAAGTGGAGGTGGAAACGGGGAGTCGGATGCTGGAGATTGGAAGTCGGAGTGCTGAGATGGTGGACGCTGGAGGTAGATTGGTGGAGCTGGAAATGGAGAGGTGGATGCTAGAGGTCAGCGTCGGAGTGATGAGCTGGTGGGTTCTGGAGGTCGATGGGTGGAGCTGGAAATGGAGTTTCGGATGCTAAAAGATTGAGGTCGGAATGCTGAGATAGTGGGCGACGGAGATCGATGAGTGGAGGTGGAGACGGAGAGCCGCGCGCCAGAAGCTGTCGGTCGGAATGCTGAGCTGGTGGGCGCTGGAGGTCGGTAGGTGGGGGTGGAAGTGGAAGGTCGGATGCTAGAGATTGGAAGCCGGAGTGCTTAGCTGGCGAAGGCTGGGAAGTCGATAGATAGAGTTGGAGGTGGGGAGTCGGAATTTTTCGAGGCTGCAGGTCGGAATGCCGAGAAATGGCACGCTGGCCTCCTACTCAGGAGCACGCGTACCGTACTTCACAAAATCGTCTTCCAACTGCTCCCACTCCTGTGTCGTGGCCGGTGGTAGCCGCGTGGTGTCGTTTAGGTCGCGGTGTCTTCGCGGTGTCCGGCGTCGGTTGTCTGCGCGGTCGCGACGCTGGCGTAGGGGAACGCGGATATCATCGCCCCATCTCTCCCACTCTCTTCCATGATGACGCGGCCTTGTCTGGGGAGCCTGAAGGCTCAGGCGCCAATGAAGATCGCGTTGCGGCCATTCATGTGGTAGTGGCTGCGCGGCGCGGGCTGCGAATCGCCATGCCATCTTTCTTTGCATTGATGCCCAGTCGTGGAATTTATGTTTGTTCATGAAGGCCTCCACTTGTCGAGTCGTTCGCTTGATGTATTCAACCTGTGGCTCCAGACCGTCGTCGCCTGGCTGGTTGTCCCACTTGTCGCGGGTGTTGTCGTGATCTGCGTCGCTGGCTTCGTTGCTCAAGTGGGCGTTCGGCGGTTTGCTGTCCACGTCTTCTCCGTCGGTGCTGTGCGCGTCAGATGCCATAATTGGCGTCGAAAGTGGCTCTTGCGTGCCAGTCGCCCCGGGCGTTGGTCTGACGTCGGCGTTTCGTCGTCGAGGTGTGCCGATGGCCATGCGCATCATGCGCCGTTGCGCGCGTTGCAGCGGCTGTCGCAAAGGCTCGGTCAACGTCCGAGTGCTTGCGCCGCAAAGGACTGTCGGTGTTACCGCGCCGTCAAAAAGACAGAGTTTCTGCTTCAGCGGATGCTGTTTTCCTGCGAGCTCTTGTCTGTGACTTGTGAAAGTTGCCCACCCTGCCTCGAGGTGGTTCTTTACTTCTGCGGCGACTGCGTCGTCAAAGCTGTTGCGCTGACCCAAATGCTTCACTGAGCCAGAGCATGGTAAGATCTCGATTTCGAGGTCGTCGATTACAGCACTGCGTTGACGTGCTCTCCCCGTGCGTTCTGACAAGCTGGATAAGATATTCGTCTTGTCGGGATGCACGTGAAGTCCATGCGTTTGCGCTGCCGCGGCCACGTCCTTGAGCGTCGCGATGAGGCGAGGGGGCGCCCGACTTGCAATGACGTCGTCAGCGAAGCGAAGGTTCGGGAGACAACTGCGCGGTGAAAATCCCAGTTGGACTCCTTGGGCGCGTTGCTGCCATTTGGCGACGATGGGGTCTCATGATGTACTCCAGGAGCGACTTGAAGAGCAGCGAGCTGAGCGGGTCACCCTGTTATGTGCCTCTCAGTAGATGGACTGGGCTGCTGGTTGAGCCTGTTTGCGCTGTCGCTGTTTGCTCTGAGTAAAGCCGCTTTAACAGGTGGATGTAGTCTGCTGTAATGCCCTGGCTTTCAAGTGCCGCCCAGAGGCTTTCGTGCTCCACAGCGTCGAATGCTTTCTTGAAGCCGAGCGCTGCGATCCAAAGGGGCTGGTTCCACTCGCGCGCTCTTTCTCGGAGAACGTCGAACGTAAACAAGTGGTCTTGCGTGGGCCGCCCGGGGCGGAAGCCTGCTTGGTCTGGAGGTTATTGCTTGTCTAACTGCGGCTGCAGTCTGGAGTACAGAAGTTTGCTGAAGAGCTTGTATAATGATGGTTTGCTGCATATTGGTCCGTAGTTCTGCGGTTGTGCAATGTCCCCTGCTTAGGGAATGACTGTGATGACCGTTTGTCGACAACTTTGCGGGTTTGGTGCATCTGGTCGGAGAGTGGTGTTTGCTGTAGAGCAGCAAGATAGCTTGTTTCAGCTCTGGCGGCGCAAGTTTTAACATTTGCACCCTGATTCCGCCCTGGCCTGGTGCTTGGCCACACTTGAGGGTGGATAGTACTTTGCCGAACTCTTGCGGCGTAAGCGGTGGTATGGTGTCGCCGTCGTGTCGCGGTAATGTGGCTGGTCGAGTGGAGCGGTAAAGCTGCCCTCGTAGAAGGCCGCAAATACGTTTGCAATGGTCTCTCTGTCTGTATACATATTGCCACCCGTTCCACGCATACCTGTGATGAGCGTGCGCCGCCGTCTCGATTTGATCGCAGCGATTCGTTCCAACCCCCGGTATTCGCCCAACAGTTTACCAAGCGGCGCTCGTGTTGTAACCCGTTCGTTGCTGTCGCGCTTTCGTGTCTTGGTTGGGTGTGCTTTGCCGTCGTTCTATGACTTCTTGCAGGTGCGTCTGGGACGGGGGGCGTTGTTGGACTCGGCTGGGTGCTTTTATGCTCGTCGATGTTGCTTCCACTATTATGTTTTGGATGCGCTCGTTGAATTCCTTTGGGTGTCGCGGTAGGTCTGCAGCCGTGATTTTGTCCGTGGCGGCCACAGTGTACATTATGGTGTCTATGTCGTTCCATCCGCAGGTGGTCGTGCTTCGTGGTGCCTCTTGTTTGTTTCCGTTTGTCGGCTGGACGCCGTGGTAAACAAAACTGCCGAAATCTGTCACAAACCTTTGCTGTCGCAGCGGTTTCAAAATCGAGTGCCCAACAACAACTTCAAACACACGGTTTCGCAACATCAGTTTTCAGGAAAGTGTGGGCCCGCGCTCTTGCGAGTTCTTAAGAGAACCATGTTCGACATCATCAACATTTCCATGGAATTCATTTGCACTCGCGTGTTTCAGCATCTTCATACAATTCTGCCAAAACGGGACTCTGGCACCACATGTCGAGATCATTCGCGCGCCCTCGCGAGCGTGCTGGGGGGGGGGGGGGGCACGATCCGTGTCAAATAACACCATGCGGGCCACTCTCGCGCGTCGGCCACGCGCACGTCGATCACTCCCCAAAACCTTCATCATCGACGCGAAGACGCACGCCATCATCGTCGTCGGCGCGATCAGCATCGGCGCCCGCACTGGCCGCGCCGTCGTCGTTGTCAACATCGTCACCAGCATCGCTGCTATCATCATCGTGTCTACCAATGTCGACGTTGCCATGATCCGCGCCCGCCCAAGTCGCCGACTCGCACTGACATGTCCGCTGGAATGTGCCCACCGGTCAGCGCCACCGCGGCCGCGTCGGTCGCGCCAAATTAGCTGGCCGCTGCGCGTGCGTGATTCGGTTGGCGCGGCCGCAGAGATGCACAAACCAACGCAAAGCATGCACCACAATCGCCACCGCATGGGCTTTGCTGGGTGAGTGGGAGGGATGTTTCCAAGATCTTGGAATGTGTCAACTCGTTTGGGAAGACTCATTGCGCCGCATGGGTGTCACCACGTAGATTGCACCACGACAGCACCACATAGAGTGCACTACGACACATGTTGCACCACACATACTGTACCACGTCGATTGCACCGGATAGATTGCGCACCACATGGGGTGCGCCACCCCACCTACACCATATACGTTGCACACCGTAGATAGCACAACGCGGATTGAACCACACAGAGTGACCCACATAACCTGCAGCACACAACATTATCTAAACAACTTGCACCACGTCCATGGCACTACATAAGCCGCATAACAGATATTGCAATGCATCGGTTGCGGCACGTCGATCGCACAGCGTACATTGCACATGCTGCACCACGTAGACTGCACCGCACTGATGGTGCACCAGATAGGTTGCGCCACACAGTCTGCAACACATATGTTGAACGCCAAATACTGCTGCATGACATAGATTGCACCACGCAGAATGCACCACACATAGTGCTCATACATACATATATATATAGACCGCCCCACAAAGATTGCACACCATGTATCGCACTGCGTATGCTACAGAAGCATACATATCACCAGGTGGATTTCACTACCTCGATTGCCCCACATATATTGCGCAACGTAGATTGCTACAAACACTCTGGTGGTGTCCACGCAGGTTAACATATGTATATATCGAATAGGTCTACAGAGGGAGAGAGAGAGAGAGAGAGAGAGAGAGAGAAAACAAACAAAAGCGACATAGATAAAGCAACGCATATACCAATATGGGCAGACGCGGAGGGCCAATATGTCGATCACGCCCATGAAGTACATCGCCTGCCTGTCTTTGGAGACTACCCCTCCGGAATCACGCTGGTGAAGCGGCTGCGCCCCCGAAGTGCCTCGCAGCGTGGGCTCGGCGGGGGAGGACGAGAGCGAGGGTGCGGCCTCGGGGGCAACGTTTCGGGGGAGGGAGAAAGGAGGACATGTAGGAGAAGGGGGAGGAGGAAGGCCGGGGGGAGGAGGAAGAGGTGGTGGACAAACCGGACTCGAGCCTCCAGAAGAGGAGCGCCAGGCGGGGGGGATGCGCTGGCCCTGCGCAATGGCTCGATCCCGCGCCCGCTGGCCCGACATCGGAACACCTCCAGGCGGCCCGGCCTCGGGTCGTGCTGAAGACTGCAGCGGGCTCGCAGCGTCCAGGAACCACCTTACTCAAGGCTCGCGAAGCGAGGAGCATCGGGGTAGTCGGCGCGAGAGAGCGGAGGGGGAGGGGGGGAGGAGCGGAGGGAGGACGCGCCACAAACATAAGGCACGCTAAGCAAAATAACGACCCCCCTCTATGGCACCAGGAGCGCCTGGCTGGACGAGGAACACTCGAGGAACAACTTTCAACGGACCTCTACGGAGCAGCGAGCCCCTCCCGAACCCGAGCTGGCCCTTTCTTCCGTGTCTTGGCTGCGGGGCAAGGGAAGCGAAGAAGGCATCCCTCCTTCGCCCCCCTCTCCTGCTGCTGGCGCTCCTGCACCTGCCCCGCTACTGCCCTCGCCCGTTCTCATCCTCCTCCCCATGTTCCCACTCCAATCCAGCACTCGTTGCACAGTCAGGTGATCGGCATATGTAGGTACTCCTCGGGGCTGGGGAGCGACCGCACCCTCCACGAGGAGCGACGAGGGAGTTCCCCAGAAGTCGTGGCGAGAACATTCGGTATCGCACATTTTCCAGACTAAATCGGGAAACCTGTTTCTGTTTGGGCGTGCTGGCCCATCCGCTACCACACGCTGCCGCGCGCTCTGGTTCTAATGTGTTGCGCCCCATGGGGTGGACAAATCGGGCCCCCCGGGGCACCCGCAAGAAGGCGAAGTCGTACATAGTGTCGACTTCGCAGCCTGGCCAACTCAGGGGGCCGAAATTGAAACGATCCCTCGGGGACCGAGACTGCGGCAATCCCTGGGGCACCGTGCAATGCTCTGCAAGAGTGCCGCAGAAGCATCTCAGCGCCCTCACCCCTCTCTGGAGGAGCGCGGGGAGAGGAGGGGAGGGTACAGATTTCTCTCACGGGCGCGCTGCTTGGGAGCGCGGGCGGGCGCCGCACATGCGGCGACACTCGATCGACCCCATCTTGGAGTCCCCCCCGAGAATAACGGGAGGCCTTGGATGGGAGGTGCTTTGCGGGTGGGCTGCCTGCCCCCGTCGCGTCGCGCCCGTCTCGAGGCCGACATGGCCACAAGCGCGTGCGATGTTGATCGACAGCGATGTCCCAGCCTACCTTCCCGTTGACGACGATCGTCTCCCCCCTCCTGACCCCTCTCCTCCGCCTCTTCACACTGGCTCTTCCCATCCTCCTCATGCCTCTTCCTTTCCATCCTTTTTTGTTCCCTTCCTGCTTCCGTTCCCTTCCCTTCTCAGTCCACAACCACCTCCATCCTCCGTCTCCCTCTCCTGCTTCTCATTATCCCCCCCTTCGTCCCCCCCTCATTCCCTCCTCGTCCCCCTGTGGTCTCCTCCTCCTCCTCCTCTTCTTCCTCCTCTTATTATTATTCTTATTATTTTTAATTATTATTATTATTATTATTATATATTGTTATTATTGTTATTATTATTATTATTATTATATTATATTAGTATTATTATGTCATTATTAGTATTTATTAGTCTTATTATTATTTATTATTATTCGCCTCTCTCCTCTTCCTCCTCCTCCCCTCCTCCTCCTCCTCCTCCTCCTTCGCCTCCTCATCTTCCTCCTCCTGTTCCTGCTCCTGCTCCTGCTCCTGCTCCTGCTCCTGCTCCTGCTCCTGCTCCTCCTCCTCCTCCTCCTCCTCCTCCTCCTCCTCCTCCTCCTCCTCCTCTCCCTTCATCTTCCCCTCCTCGTCCTACTCCTCATTTTCCTCCTCATCCTCCTCCTCCTCCTTCTCCTCCGCCTCCTTCTCCTCCTCTTCCTCCTTCTCCTCCTCCTCCTCCTCCTCCTCATCATCATCATCATCATCATCATCCTTCTCTGCTCCTTCCCTCCCTCCTACCTCCCTCTACTCCTCCTCCCTCCCCTCCTCCTGCATTTTGAACTTTAGAGCGACAGAGCGACGGCACCTCTGGCGGCCTCTGGGTCAGCGGGCCCTGCCCACTCCCTCCCACCCCCTCCCATGACGGACTAATCAACTTCAGCACGGAATTTGGTGGAACCAGCGCACGCGGCCTCGCGTCCGACTATTGAAATAACGGGCCGCGCCCAAGCGATACAGTAACGCACGCGATTGGTGCACGGCTTATTTTTTATTAATCTCGGCGATCGAAAACAAGTTGCGCGGCGCAAAGCGACGGGAATGCGGCGTTCGGGCAAGACTTGCGCGGCGCTTGGGCTTGCACGATGTTTCGGCCTCTGGGGCAGTCCCTGGTTCAGACGATCTGGACGAGCTCGAATTTCCAAGTGACAAACCTTTCCCTCCACTGCGCCCCATCCACCGCGAAGGGAAGTGGCGGACACTGCCCCTTCCAGAGAAACGGCGATCGGGAATCAGTGGCCCGGGCCGCCCCTACGGACAGAGGGGGAACACTGAGAGAGGCGAAGAAGAGCAGGGGGGCAGGAAGTCCCACCTGCCGAGCGGCTCAAAGCCGCGCAGGCGCAACTCCGCACGTCCCAATCCAGCCATGAGCCGCAGGGAACAAGCAGCACGGCGCCTGGGGTCACTGAGGGCAACAGTGTTCGCAACTCGACGACCAAATCCGCCACCGTGCCTCTGGGCACGGAGTGGGCGTGTCCTCAGGTCCTTCCCCTAATCCTCTGAGCCTCAATCCTCCCTCCTGCGGACCTTTTAACCGCCCAGAGCCCAGTGTTTGAAATCTCCTGGGGCTTACCAGGTGCCCCCTGGGGCTTCCCGCGTGCCCCCTGGGGCTTCCCCCACATCTCGTCATTTGGCCTTTTCGGGCCCACGAAGTCTCCCACGCGGCCCACGAGATCCCCAAGAAGGTCCAAAAGGGCTCCAAGACGCCCAAGACGGCCTCAAGATGGCCCAAGAGGCCTCCAAGCCGCCTCAAGAAGCCTCGAAGAGACCTCCCAAGAGGGCCTCAATATGCGCAAATCACACATGTTCCATCGGTTCCCGAAAGATTTGGGCGTTCTCACCTTTTCGGCTGCTCAGGATGGTCTCCAAGACGTCTCCAAGACGCCCCAAGATGGCCTCCAAGACGGCTAAGATGGCCCCAAGATGCCTCCAAGATGCCTCCAAGACGGCCCAAGACGGGCCAAAAGGCCTGCAAGAGGCCTCCAAGACGGCCCAAGAGGCCTCCAAGAGGGCCTCCAGGAAGGCCCGAAGAGGCCAAACTCATTGTTTTGCCTCAAATAATTAAAGGATGTTTGCATTTGCGCCGTTTCGGCTTTCCGGCGGCACAAGGCGGTTCAAGGCGGCCCAAGAGGCCCCCAAGATCGCCCAAGAGGCCCCCAAGAGGACTCCATGACGGTCCAAGCGACCTCCAAGACGGCCCCAAGAGGGCCCCAATACAGCCCAAGAGGCCTCCAACACGCCCAAGATGGCCTCCAAGACGCCCAAGATGACCTCCAAGACGGCCCCGAAACGCCCCAAGGGCGCCCCAAGTCGGTCCAGAAAGGCCCCCAAGACGGCTCCCGACGGCGTCAGACGTGCCAGGAACCCACCAAGATGGCCGAAGTTGGCTCGAAGCTGGCCCAAGACGGCCCAAGAGGCCCCCAAGAGGGCCTCCAGGAAGGCCAGAAGAGGCCAAAAACATGGATTCTCCGTAGGCGTTTGATGGATGTTGACATGTGCTTCTTTTCGGCCTTCCGACGGCCCGAGACGGCCCAAGAGCCCCCAAAAATCGCCGAAAGATCGCCCAAGAGGCCTCCAATATGACCCCAGAACGGCCCAAGAGGGCCCCAAGAGGCCCCCAAGACGGCACAGGAAGCCTGTAAGACGCCCAAGATGGCCTCCAAGACGGCCCTGGAGCATTCCAAGAGGGACCCAAATCGGCCCATAGAGGCCCCCCAAACGGCTTCCGACGGCCTCAGACGGACCAGGAGCCCACCAAGACGGCCGAACATGGCCCTAAGATGGCCCAAGGCGGCCCAAGAGGCCTCCAAGAGGGAACATCAGTGATTCCCCATGGTGTTTGAAAGATTGTGTGTGTTTGCACCCTCCTCATTTTAGTATCAGCGAATAGGTCTCGTGAAACACGGCACGGCGTTGTTCAGCACAGAAAAGGCGAGAGCCTATACAGGTAGCCGGGTAGTGGCACACCACCTGCAGGCTTCCGTTCCTAGGCGGTTAAAAAATCTGAGCTCTGCGACGTTGGAGCACTCATGGCGGAGGGCAGGCCACGGGTGCACTTGAGCGGAGACGGAGGGTCACAGACAATCACGCGCAAGCACTCCTATGTCTGTTTGCCCCCTCCTCATTTTAATATCAGCGAATGTCTCGTGAAACACGGCACGGCGTTGTTCAGCGCAGAAAAGGCGAGAGCCTAAACAGGTAGCCGGGTCGTGGCACAACACCTGCAGGCGTCCGCCCCTTGGCGGATAAAAGAAATCTGAGCTCCCATATTACTCCCATATCATGGATTGCGTTTTCTGATGATGCAGGCGGAGATGAGGGCAGTGGCGAGGTCACGGCAGAGGCCTAAGGGATACGGCTCCGCCACTTTTGTCCACGGCACTCGACGTGTCGGATGCGGGCCTGACAGCTCGAAGTGAGGTCTGGCCGTGCATGAGCACACTCCTCGGCCTCGACAGAGGTGGTGTTGCAAATGTTGAACACAGCATGCTGAAGTATTCCCGAAGAACAGGTGCGTACGCTTGCGCCACCGAGTGCCGTAACTGCAGAAGTCAACTGTCTCTTCTTCGCAGTGCGGCGCGCTAGCCAATTTGCGCAAAGCTGGGATCTTCCACATCGTACTACTGTAAGGATTTTCCAGGAACCACGGGATATGATACCTGTTGACAACTCGAATCAATCTGAGGGTCGCCTTCATCAGCCTGTTGCCTCTTCTCAAGGCAACATGGTCCTTATCACTGAACTGGCTTCGGTCTTTGACGCCCCACGGCATCGCAGAGGTTCGGATGAATCTGGCCCGCGTGCGAGCGATGGAAAAACTCGTGCACTCTGTCGCCCGCGCAGCTCCAAGGATGAGCCCAGCAGAGGCGTCTTTTTCAATCAGACGATGCACGCGGTGGTCTGTGAGGTCGAGGTGCTCGCCATACTTGAGATCCCACAGCCTGGCCGCATAGCCTCGCCTGCTGGTGGCGCGCCCGACGCCGCCGACCCCGCAGAACAGGTCGGCTAAGTAGGGTCGGGCGTTTACCGAGGCACGAAGGGCTGGGCGGCCACGCGGTTGAAGGAGAGCGCCTCGAGTTGGGCGTCGGTCTTCTTGAACTGGGCCGCCTGGGTAGGCATCAGCATCGAGACGGACAGGTTCGAGCTGACCGCGTTCTCGCACCACTTCGGGGACGACTTGTACTGCCACTCTCTTCGTTTCATCAGCTCGGGGTGGTCGCGGTGGCGCCCTCGCAGGTCCACCGACGCCCCCGCGTGGCGCCCCTGGTAGCGCACCGGCGAGTGGTGCCCCAGCCTCGCTCGTGTGCGGTTGGGCTCGGCTACCAGCTCTGGATGGCTGTGCGGGGACACCCTGGACACTGGGGTACCTGGCGCAAGCGATGAGGCCACTCGCGGCAGCCATGGGCACAGCTTGTTGGCCAGGCGGATGCCTTCGTCCTGCGCCCGGTTCTTGCGGGTGGCGCCTCGGCTGCCTGGGGACAGGATCAGAAACCACTCGTCCACGCCGCCCTTCACTGGCTTGGCCAGGTCGCGGCGCTGGATGGTCAAAAGGCTCGCTGGGCCTGTGATGCATCGCGATGTTCCCGGCCGCGTGGAGCCCCATCGGGTAGAGCCCCCTGCAACAAAGGTCCCAGATCACCGCTGGCCAAATCGTCCTCACGACTGCGTTGCGTGAGCGCCTCCCGCAAAGGCGTCGCCACCCCTTCAGGGCGCGCCAGGCCCGGGGGGGGCGCGAGATGCCAAACTTGCCATACTGCGGCTGGAAGTGCAAGAGGGCCGACAGCAGGACATCGCCACGGTTCGCCCCGCGCTTCTCCTCGGGCAGCCCGTTTGTGTAGTGCACGGGTGCAGCGTCCACCACGCTGTCCACGACGAGCGGGCATGACGCCTCCTTCCCGTCCTCTGGGTTGGTCGTGGCGTCGTTCTCCCCGCTCTCTGCCCGCGCGATCGGCGGCGGCCTCAGCAGCCGCGCCGCCAGGCCCGGCGGGGGCACCAGCGACCGGCGCCGCTGCAGCACGGAGGCTGCCCCCGGCGGCGGGGCCAGCGGCGGGGGCAGCGCGCTCGGCGACATGGCCCGCGAGCGTCTGGCACGCCGCTCGGGCCTCTCGGGCGCGGGCGCGCCGTCGACGCTGTCTGGCCGCAGTCGCCGCTGGCGCTGACTCATCAGCGCATGCCGAGCCCTGGGCGCCTGCGGCGGGAGCTGCCACGGCCCCTGTCGCAGGAGAAGTGCTTCGAGCCGAGCATGGCCACGGTGCTCTGCTAGTTGTGGCTGCTGCTGGGAGCTCTGCGCTATGGGCCCGAAGAGGCCTTGAAGACAAGCCCCATTGGTCGTCCTGATCGTTCGTGCCCGCGGAGGCCTTTTGGGCCCCGTTGGGGTGCTCACGTTCTCTGCGATGATATAGTGAGCCCTGCAATGGCGGGCCCCGCGGTTCATGTGCTCTGCGATGTTCTGCTTCATGTGCTCGATGATGTTCCGCTTCATGTGCTGTGCCATGGCGCTCATGTGCTTTATGATGATGCTCGTGTGCTCCACGATGCTCCGCTTCATGTTGAGTAAGCCTACGATTCGCTGCTCTACCGCCGTCGTTGTCACCCATCTCCCAAGAGTTCACTGGGGTCTTCGAGGCGTCATGCTTGGGGTCAAACAGTCGTGATCCCTCATCACTTGGTTTGAGCTCGCTGGGAACCCACCGTGCATGCAACCGCCTGTTCAGGGCCAGGCATAGGGCCACAGCCCTTCTGATGCAGGACAGGACGACATAGTTTTTCGCTCTCCTTCTCTCGGAGCAGAGTACTGCAGGCAGGTTGTCACTCATCACGACGAGGTGCTCGCCGACACTCGGCGACAGGCTACATTGTATCTCAACCGCTCGAAGCAGAGCACGAGACTCGTATACGTAGATATCCTCCGTGGTATTATGCCACCCTCGGGCGACTATCTCAATCCAGCGGGCGCCCATGAAGATCCCCGCCGGCATCTCCTCGACAGCTGGATTCACACCCCACTCGGCATCGTCCGCGACGACGTCTCCTTCCTCCAGCTCAGTAACTGGCTTGAGGGCCCCGCCGAGGGTCATGGTAATCCCATTCATGGCGAAGAAGTGGGCACGCGCCGAGTGGCCGCCCAGGCGCCGGAAGCGAGATCGCTCCTGCACCCGCCCGATCTTCTTCACCTCCGCTTCACCAAAGAGGGAGGCACTCACAGCGCACCCATGCTCCGAGGCGTCGGACAGGCACGCCAACTTGCTCCAGGGGAGGGCCCAGTCGCCGCGCAGCAGCGGCATCAGCCCTCGGAAGGCCACGAGCTCCGCGCGGGCGCTAGCCCACAGCGCGGCGCCCTGGCTGTAGTTCGCCGCGATGAACTTGTAGACGGCGGTGAACGCAGGCAACAGGTCGCGGTAGCACATGGCGCAGTACGTGCAATGCCCGATCACCACCTCCCAAGCCCAGCCGGGAAGAGCCCGACACCAAAGGGCCCAGCTGAGCCCCTGCCTCACGCGCCAGTAGCGCTTCGCCGTGCGGCGGGTGCTCAGCGCCTTGCCGTCCAGCACGCAGCCCAGCGTCTCCCCGCGGCCCTCCTGGAGCTCCGTCTCGTGGGTCACGAGCCCGGCCTGATTGAAGCGGGTCGCGGTGGCGCCCAGACACTCCGCCACCGCGGCGGCGTCAAAGCCCAGGACGCCCAGGTCGTCGACGTAGGTGTACTGCGCTCCTCCGCCGTGGTCCAGCGGCCTGGCCGGCTGCAGCACCGTGGTGGGGCCCCAGTCACTCATCCGGGGGACCCCTGCCAGCTCAGGAGCGTCGCTCATCATCGACTCCCCCACTTCCTGGCAGAAGAACCGCGACCAGGTGAAGCCCATGGGCAGCGCAGCGCACGCCGGCACCAGCCGGGCGTCGGCCTCCAGACGACGGCCGCCCAGCTTGGTGCCGGCCAGCCCCACCTCGCCAGCGAGCGCCGGCCGCGTGCAGAAGTAGCCCGACAGCCCGCGGTCGATGCGGAAGCGGTGGAAGGCGTCACTGATGTCGGACGTCCCCAACGTGAAACCCTCCGCCGCACCGGTCATGCTGCTGCCGTCGAGCCCCACCGCCACCCTCGCGAGTCCCTCAGCGGTAACTAGGGCCACGCCCGGGGGGGAAGTGAAGTGGAGGTTGCTCTTCCGCGCGTCCACGATCATGCGGAACTGGTCGCTCTTCTTGGCAACGTAGAAAACTCCGACCTCCTCGCGCCGCTCGGACTCGTCCGGGAAGACAAGCACCCCCTTCGATCTGAGCAGCCTGATGAAACGTACGTACAGCCTCCTGTTGCGCACAAGAGAGGGATCCCAGTGCGGGGACACATCGCAACTATCGAGTCGATGATCTAATTCGTCGCTTGGTACGAGCATCCGAGAATAACCGTCCTCGAAGTACTGGCGTGCATGGGCAAGTGCGACCTCCATCAGCCGTGGTCCCTCCACCGCGGTCTTATAGGCAAGGGTATCTGCCCCACATTGCGAAGGCGCCCGATGTTCCGTCCGGCCGACTCGTCGTAGACACTCCGGCCGTGCAGCAGCTCGTTGAAGGCCGCCCGCGGCGAGGGGATCGCGGTTTCCTGGGGCGGCGTGCTGTCCGCCACGATGTCGAGGATCCGCGCGTGCACCCTCTGCTGGTCAAAATTCGGCTTGACGCCGGTGTGCTGTCGGTTCGCAAACCAATTCAAAACGCCCACCGCATCGCTGAAGTCGCAGCGGGCCCGCCCGGCAAGCCTGCCTCCCCCGCGGCTCTGTGGGCGGCCATCGCGACTCCTGATGTCGGGGAGTCTCGGCAAGGGGAACAGCTTGAGCAAGTCCACCCCGACTTCGCAACTGGGCTGTTCATCGCCGGCGGGTCGCCCACCTCCGCCGGCAGGCGGGCTCATCCCCCGGCGGGCGCGGTCAGCTTGCCGCCGCGCCCACCGTCGCGTCCTGCCCCCTTGTCGCCCTTGCGGCCCCGGCCGCCGCCGCGCCCGCCGCTGCCGCCCTCGCCGCCGCGGCCCGCGCTGCCGCCGCCGCCGTCGGGGAGCCCCTCCCCCGCCGCGGCCGCCAGCGGACTTGGCGGCGGCACGCCGGCGGCCCGCATCTTCCAGCTCTCCAGCTCCATCTCCTCCTTGTTCTTCCGGAAGACCGTGGTGCGCAGCGTCGGGTCGACGATGTCGAGGGGGCTGGTGGTGCCCATGAAGTGCTTGAGGCCAGCCCACTCTGGTCCCCTGCTAGGGTCAACTGAGTAGGCCTCTACTATCGTGGACACGCGACGGCACAGCACCTCGATGCTCGCCGTGCTCGCCAGATTCACCTGGTCGTAGGTGCCCGCGTAGTAGATGGCGGTCAGCAGGCACTTCATCTCTATGCAGCTTCTGTCCGAGTGTGAGAGCAGCCTGTCCCGCGCCCACATTTCTAGCCACAGCAGCGGGTTGCCGTCGCTCTTGTCCCACGTCTTGATCACGTGCTCGACCGTGGAGAGCCCGTCGTCCAGCGGCCAGTCCTTGAACGTGTATCGTTTCACCTCCCGGACGACCTCACGCCATGGCTTGTGTCGCTCTCCATGATCGTCATGCTGCACCCACAACGTCCTGATGTCCTCCGCCTCGGCGGGCGGCCCGTTCTCGATGGCTGGCGGCGCGCCCAGACGGTCGCGCAGGTCGCGCTCCTCGGTGGCCTCTGGGGCCTCTGCCGCCGCTGCCACGGCACCTCCAGGCAATGGGGCCCCAGGTAGCCCGAGGTCTGCCTCCATCTGCTTGGTCACCTCCTTGGCCTTGCGGCGGCGGAAGTCGTCACGGTCGTCCCGCCTGGCCGCCTCTAAGGAGCTGCCAGCCGCTCGCCAACTGCATCATCGCGTGGCCACGGCCCAGCCGCACGTCGCCCGCCGCCAACTCGATCTCCAAGCCGATCGGCTTTGGGCCCAAGGTGGCCACCATCCACACGCAGCCCTCCGGGGCCTCGTATACGTAGTCGGCGGCTGTCGCTGGAGGGCGGTCGGGCGCGGCGTCGGCCAAGGGGGCTGCCTCGCCGTCGGGCGCTAGCGGCGGGGTCGCCGTCCCGTCGGGCTCCCCCGCGGCGCCGCGCAGCGGGGGGCGGCGGCGTAGCCGCGAGAAGGCCGTGCGAGCGCCGTCCCAGCTGTAGAACATGGCGGGGTCCTCCAGCGGCGCACTCGCGCGCGCCCCCTGCTCGGTCCTGGCTTCGAGGATGAGGGCTCTGAGCCGGGCGGGCGACACGGGGGCTCGGAAGCGGTAGGACCTCCCATGGGCCACCGCCGGTGGCGTCCCGTCTGGCGTGCACGCGAAGGCTCGTGAACATCCGTCCCCAGTCACCCCCGCGATGTCCTCGACGTAGACGTCATCATCCGGCGCCAGCACCCACCAGTAGGTGCCGCCCGCTGGGTACAGCAGCGGGCGCTCATGCCACACCGTGTCCCGTCGGTACCACAGCCCCACGCGGAGCCCTGGGCGCAGCTCAGCGCACCACTCCGCCACCTCGGCGCTGGCTCCGGTCGGCCACAGGGTACGGACGCCGCGCCGACGCTGGAGACTCAGCATTCCTCCGTGCGCGAGCCGTCAGGCAGCACACGACAAGAAGCACCAGCTCTCCCACAGCGCAGCCCGCAGCCACCAGCGTCACGGCGCTCGTCTGCTCCTCCAGGGCCGGGCCGGCCTCGGGCGGCGAAGCCGCCAGCGGGGGCCCCGCAGGCCCGGGCGACGGCGGCAGGCGCTCCAGCACCGCCGCCGCCACCGCCTCCGCGCTCGGGCAGATCGCCGGAGCGGGCGAGGCGTTCGCGAGCCAGGGCCCAAGCTCCTCCACCACCGCGGCCGCGATGCCTGCCGCCACGGGCGGCGGCGGCGGCGGCGGCGGCGGCGGCGCCGAGGGCGCCTGGCAGACGCAGGCTGGGCAGGTGGTCGAGGCCGCGATCAGCGTCCCCAGCCAGGCTCCCAGAAAGCGCAGCCCAGCCCACGCCGCCGGAGCGCCGACCGCGGCGCCCACCGCCAGGCTCGTGGAGGCGCCAGGGGCCATGGACCGGCCCACGCTCATGCACTTGAGCGGAGACGGAGGGTCACAGACAATCACGTGCAGGCACTCCTATGGCATTTGTTATTTTCTGCCTTCCGACGGCCCGAGACGGCCCAAGTGCCCCCAAAGATCGCTCAAGAGGCCCAAGACACGGCCCCAAGAGGCCACCAAGACGGCCCAAGAGGTCTCCAAGACGCTCAAGATGGCCTCCAAGACGGCCCAAGAGCCCTCCAAGACGTCCTCCAAGAAGGCCCCAAAGGGTCAAAATGAACTCCAGACGGCCAAGACGACCTTCAAGATGCCCACGTGTTCCCCGAAGGCTTTCCAAACCGATTCGGGGAACACATGGTCCGATAGCTTGGCAGGTCTGGCCTCAACGTTCGGCCACATAGGCGCTTCCAAAAAGGCAGGGGGCGGCGGTGATTCGCCGTAGGCGTCTTCGATCCGCCGCCCCCTGTCGATTCATCGCAGGGGTGCCTGGCGTGCCAAATGATTACTGTTTTGGTGCTGGTTCTTTGTCCAAAAGAACTCCCCCTGGAGCTTCGGCCCGTCCCGCCCGGGTCCCGGGAGGACTGCCCGGGAGCTCAATTCTCAATTTTGTTCCTCCAAGACGGCTGAAGATGGCCTCCAAGATGGCCACGTTGGCCCAAGATGGCCTCCAAGATGGTCCAAGATGGCCTCCAAGTCCGCCCAAGATGGTCCAAGACGGCCTCCAAGACGGCCCAAGAGAGTCCAAGACGGCCCAAGAGGCCCCCCAGAGGTCCTCCAGGAGGGCCCGAAGGGGCCACAATCATTTATTTTCCGTAAGTTTTTGAAGGATTTTGACATTTGCTTCTTTTCGGCCTTCCGACGGCCCGAGACGGCCCAAGAGGCCCCCAAGATCACCCAAGAGGCCCCCAAGAGGGCCCCATGACGGCCCAAGTGGCCTCCAAGCCGGCCCCAAGAGGGCCCCAAGACGGCCCCTCCAACACGCCCAAGATGGCCTCCAAGACGCCCAAGGTGGCCTCCAAGACGGCCCCGAAGCGCCCCAAGAGGGCCCCAAGTCGGTCAGATAGGCCCCCCAAACGGCTTCCGACGGCGTCAGGCGGGCCAGGAGCCCACCAAGATGGCCGAAGTTGGCTCGAAGCTGGCCCAAGACGCCCAAGAGGCTTCCAAGAGGGCCCCCAGAAAGGCCAGAAAAGGCCAAACGCATTGATTTTCCCGAAGTGTTTGAAGAACTTTGACAGTTGCTTCTTTTCGGCCTTCCGACGGCCCGAGACGGCCCAAGTGCCCCCCAACGATCGCCCAAAGATCGCCCAAGAGGCCTCCAAGATAGCCCCAGAACGGCCCAAGATGCCATCAAGACGGCCCAAAGAGACCCGCGCCCAAGATGGCCTCCAAGACGGCCCTGGAGCACCCCAGGAGGGCCCCAAGTCGGCCCAGAGGGGCCCCCCCAAACGGCTTCCGACGGCGTCAGGCGGGCCAGGAGCTCACCAGGATGGCCGAAGTTGGCTCGAAGCTGGCCCAATGACGGCCCAAGAGGCCTCCAAGAGGGCTTTCAGGGAGGCCAGAAAAGGCCAGCAACACTGATTTCCCATAGGTATTCGAAAGGTTTTGAAGTTTGCTTCGTCTCGGCCTCCGAGACGGCCCAAGTGCCCCCAACGATCGCCCAAGAGGCCTCCAAGATGGCCCCAGAACGGCCCAAGAGGCCATCAAGACTGCCCCAAGAGGCCCCCCAAGACGGCCCAAGAGGCCTCCAAGACGCTCAAGATGGCCTCCAAGACGGCCCAAGAGCCCTCCAAGGCGTCCTCCAAGAAGGCCCGAAAGGGCCAAAATGGCCTCGGCACGGCCAAAGACAATTGTGGCAGGTGGCGGCGTGCAGGCACAAGCAAAACATACAAATAATCAATACATTGAATAATCGATTGCGCTGCAGGCGGGTCGGTGGCAGACCATGGGAAGACTTTGCGCCCCATGGGCTCAACGTTCGGTCCCAACGTTCGACCACATAGGCGCTTCAAAGAGGGCAGGGGGCGGTGATGATTCGCCGTAGGCGTCTTCGATCCGCCGCCCCCTGTCAATCCATCGCAGGGGTGCCTGGCGTGCCAGATCATTACTGTTTTGGTTTTGGTTGTCCAAAAGAACTCCCCCTGGGGCGTGGGCCCGTCCCGCTGGGGCCCCGGGAAGGCGTGGGCACAAGCAAAACATACAAATTACCCGGGCGACGTACCCAACCCCTGCGCAATGCGGGGCATGAGTAGATTGCGAGACGTTATACGGAGGTGGTGACGTGACATGGGCACATATACTTCTGCGAGTGGCATTCGTGAGGCTCGCAGCCCCCCAAGGATTGCGATGTCCCGCTCAGATCTGCCTGGTGCCTCGCCCCGCAGGAACCACCAGCAGCCCTCGAAAGTGGCGACAATTTCGAAGATCGCAGCCCCCCAAGGACGGCGAGGTCCCGCTCAGGCCCGCGCGGTGCCTCACTCCGCAGGACCCACCAGCAACCCTCGAAAGTGGCAACAGTTTCGCAGATCGCAGCCCCCCAGGGACGGCGAGGTCCCGCTCAAGTCCGCGCGGTGCCTCACTCCGCAGGACCCACCAGCAGCCCTGAAAAGTGGTGACAGTTTCGCAGATCGCAGCCCCCCAGGGACAAAAAGGTCCCGCTCAGATCCGCTCGGTGCCTCACTCCGCAGGACCCACCAACAACCCTCGAAAGTGGCGACAATTTCGCAGATCGCAGTCCCCCATGGACGGCGAAGTCCCGCTCAGATCCGCGCGGTGCCTCACTCCGCAGGATCCATCAGCAGCCCTCGAAAAGGGCGACAATTTCGCAGATCGCAGCCCCCCAGGGACGGCGAGGTCCCGCTCAGACCC